TCAAACTGAAACTAAAGCGCCCTGTACATTGTGCCCAACAAATACTCACAGGACAGGTTCAGCACGTGCTTCAATACAGTCAGTTCTGCTATAACATGTTTCTTCAACATGAACTGGCTTTAATGTGATTGAAGAATTGAGACTGCTACTTGTAGAATGCCAACCTTCCTTATGTAATGCGATTCCGGCTCCATTAGTTTAAATGGCATCCCTATTACACGATTTTCTTAATTGCCAGATTGGACAAGAATGGAACTATCACGTTTTATCAGAACTGACTGTACACAGTAAAGGTCTCTCTACACTGACCCCATTAAACACTTCCAGAACAGGAACAGCATAGGTTAGATACAGACCAATACTTCACTTGCAGTTGAAAAGAGTAGATGAAGCTCCTTCCTTTTACAACAGAGGAAGCAAGTCACAGTGAGTTGAACTATGTTGAGTGTCAAGAGAGTAAGGCAAGGCTGGATGGTCTTTAATGTTAGGAGTGTAATAGGTAAGACTGATGAGTTAATGGCATCAATTGACACATGGAAGTACGATATTGTTTCTATCACACAAACATGGTTGAAGGAAGGGCTGGACTGGCAACTCAACATTCCGGGCTATAGGATCTTTAGGCAAGACAGGGGAAGGTGTAAAACGGGTGGTAGTGTCGCACTGTTAATTAAAGACTCAATTACTGCAATAAGGAAAGATGATATCTTGGAAGGGTCCTCAAAAGAGGCTTTTTGGGTAGAACGTAGGAATGTTAAGGGGGCAGCTACTTTACTGGGAGTGTATTATAGGCTCCCAAAGAGTCATCAGAAATAGAGGACCAAACATGTAGACAGTTCACAGAGGTGTGTAAGAGTAATAATTGGGTAATTATACTAGGAGATTTCAACTTTCCCAACATAAATTGGGATAGTCACAGTTTTAAGGGTTTAAAGGGGGCAGATTTCTTGAAATGTATCCAGAGGAGCTCTTTGTATCAATATGTAGAAGGCCTTAGAAGGGACGGCGCAGTGCTGGGGAAAGATGCCGGACATGTGTTCGATGTGGCAATGGGAGAACATTTAGGAGATAGTGACCACAATGTGGTATGGTTCAAATTTGTTCTGGACAGGGAAAAAGGTGGTTTGTAAAAGATGGCTTTGAATTGCGAGAAGGCAGATTTTATTAAAATAAAGCAAGATCTGGCTAAAGTTGGCTGGGAACAGTTGCTTGTGGGTAAGTGTACAGCGGAGCAATGGAGGACATTCAAAAAGGAACCGGGGAGAGTACAGGTCTATCACGTACCCTTTATGGGGAAATGTAGGAGCAATAAGTTTAGAGAACCCTGGACGTCCATGACAATTCAGGACTGGATGAGGAAGAAGAGAAAGGCTTTTAGCAAGTCCAAAGGGAGCAAATCAGCTGCGACCCTAAAGGAATGCCGGAAGTGCAGGAGGGAAAACAAGAGAGCAATTAGAAGAGCATAAAGGGGGGCATGAAAAAGGACTTGCAAACAGGATTCGGGAAAATCCTAAGATATTTTATAAATACATTAAAGGGAAGAGGTTAATGAGGGAAAGAGTAACGCCCATTAGGGATCAAGTGGGCAACCTGTGTGTGAAGCTGCAGGATATTGGAAAGGTGTTAAATGAATACTTCTCTCCAGTTTTCACTCTGGAAAAGGAGAATGTAGTTACAGAATTCAGGAAAAAGAACTGTGAGAAACTTGCACAGTTTGACATAGGAAATGGGAAGGTATTGGAGGCTCTGTCGGCTTTAAAAATGGACAAATCTCCTTGCCTTTATTAAATGAATCCCAGGCTGCTGTGGGAGGTTAGGCAGAAAATTGCAGGGGCTCTGTCACACTTTTTAATTCGCCTCTGGCCGCAGGGGAAGTACCAGAGGACGGCTAACGTAGTTCCACTTTTCAAGAAGGGCGGTAGAGATGAACCAGGAAATTACAGACTGGTGGGTCTCACTTCAATGGTAGGGAAACTATTAGAGAAAATTCTGAAGTGAACTAATACCCACTTTGAAAGGCAAGGGTTAATTAGGGATGGTCAGTGTGGCTTTGTCAGAGGGAGGTCATGCCTAACAAAATTATTAGAATTTTTTGAAAATGTGATTAAATGTGTGAATCAGTTGATGTAATTTATATGAATTTTAGCAAAGCTTTTGACAAGGTCCCACATGGCAATCTGATTGAGAAGGTTAAAGCACATAGAATTGAAGGAAACTTGGTGAGATGGATCAGAAACTGGCTTAGTAATAGGACACAAAGGGCTTGGGTAGAAGGCTGTTTGAGTGACTGTAGGCTGGTGTGCACCAGTGTACCACAAGGATCAGTACTGGGAGCCTTTTTATTTGTTGTATACATAAATGATATTAATGAAAATGTGAGGGGAATGTTAGGCAGATTTGCAGATGACATTAAGATTGATAGAGTGGTTAATAGCGAAGATGTTTGTAGGTTACAGGAAGAAATAGATGAGTTGGCCAGATGGGCAGACGAGCGGCAGAGTTGGTACTTAACTCTGATAAGTTCAAAGTGATGCACTTTGGAAGAAGAAACACAATGAGGGAGTATTTAATGAATGGCAGGACACTGGGTAGCTTAGAGGAACAGAGGGATCTTCGGGAATTATTCACAGATCCCTGAAGTGGACAGAGCACAGGAATAGGATAGTTCAGAAAGCATATGGGACAGTTGCTTTCATCAGTTGTGGCATACAGTATAAGAACAAGGAGGAAATATTGGAGTTGTACTGAGTGTTGGTTAGGCCACAGTGCTGGAGTACTGTGTGCAATCTGGTCACCTCACGACGGGAAGGATGTGATAGTCCTAGAGGGGTATAGAGGAGGTTCACCAGGATGTTGCCTGGGATGGAGAAATTGAGCCATAAGGAGAGCCTAGATAGGCTTGGATTGTTTTCTTTAGAACAGAGAAGACTGAGGGAGGACATGATTGAGGTGTATAAGACTATGAGGGGTATGGACAGGGTGAATAAAGAGCAGCTGTTCCCCTTGGCTGAGGGGTCAATCACAAGAGGGCATAGTTTTAGGGTAAGGGGCAGGAGATTCAGAGGGGATTTCATTAAAAAAATGTTTTCACTAAGTGGGTGCTGGGAATTTGGAATGCACTGTCTGGGAAGGTAGTGAGGGCTGGAAACCTTACAACCATTAAAAAAAAATTTGGCTGGGTACTTCAGATATCATAACATTCAAGAATATGGGACAAGTGCAAGAAATTGGGATTAGCACACCTTTAGTGGTAGTTAAAACCAAAAGAACTGTGGATGCTGTAAATCAGGAACAAAAACAAAGTTGCTGGAAAAGCTCAGTAAGTCTGGCAGCATCCGTGAAGGAGAAAACAGAGCTAACGTTTTGGGTCCGGGTTCCCAGTTCTGACGAAGGGTCACCGGACCCGAAACGTTAACTTTGTTTTCTCCTTCACAGATGCTGCCAGTCCTGCTGAGCTTTTCCAGCAACTTTGTTTTTGTTTAGTGGTAACTATGTTGGTGCTGACTCGATAGGGCAAAGGGCCTTTTCTGCACTGTATGAATCTATAAATCTATTCCACACTGTCCACATCAAATACACACAGGATAGGGACACCACAGGATTAGATTGGGAGTAAAGCTTTCTCTACTGTTTTAAACTGAAATTAAAATTACTGCACACTGTCCCCATCAAACATCCCCAGGACAGGGACAGCACAGGGTTAGTATCCGAGTAATGTCTACTTGAAATAGAAAGTAAAGTTCTGTCTTTACTGTCCCCATCAAACACTTCCAGATCAGGGGCAACACAGCGTTAGATACAGAGTAAAGCTAATTCTACACTACCCCCATCAAACACTCCAAGGACAGGTACAACATTGTTCCAGATACAAAACAAAGCTTCCTGTATTTTTTAAATTGAAAGTAAAGCCTCCTTGACATTGTCCCCATGAAGCAGTCCCATGACAGGGTCAGCTCAGGGTTAGATACAGAATAAAGGTTCTCTACGTTGTCTCCATCAAACACTTCCAGGAACTGACACCATGGAGTTAGCTACAGAGTAAAGCTTCCTCTACTCGTTTAAACTGAAATTAAACTCGCTCCACAGTATCCACATCAAACACTTTTAGGACAGGGACAGCACAGGATTAGATAGAGAGTGAGGCTAATAATCTGTTTTCTATGGCACTGGATTTGAGCGCTTGAAATGGGTTAGACCTTTTAAAAATAATTTTGCTGATCACATCTTGTAATATCTCACCCCATGCTCAGCAACAGTGTCTTGGCTCCTAATCCGGCAGTTCTTCCCACGTAAAATTCTCCTATTTGTGTCCAAATTTCTTCAAGCCTCTTTCCTCCCTAACTCTGTAGCCAGGATCTCTGTTGTGTTTTATTTCTGGCATTCAGTGCACTGTCCAATTGTAAATATCTCCACCATTAACAATCATCTCTAACTCTCTAGGCCCTAAGCTTTCGAAATCCCTCATGAAACCTCTCCACTTTCCAATCTTTTGCCTCCTTTAAGTCCCCTCTTAAAAACTACCCCTACAAGGCTTTTAGTTGGTCCTCCTTGTAACTCTTTCTGTGCTTCGGCATCCAATTTTGTCTCACTACCAAGTAGATTTGAATGTAATTTTAATATTTATGATGCAGTACCAATCCAAGTTATTTTATGTATAATGTTTGAAATGCAAAAAAAACTGTCTTGATTTTAATTGGATATTCTGTTTATTCTGCTGACAAAGTCTAAATGGGAAATAAATACAACCAACCTCCTCTGACCAAAAACAACAAGACTCTGTGAGGAGGACGACTGGCAAGGTAAAGGTGTACAAGGGAGCAGCCATTAAGAGAGTGGGCCAGTGTTAGAGTGGAAGTGCTGAGCCTTTGCTCGAGAGGTTTCGGTGTGAGGAGGCTGAGCAGGGGTACAGGTAAGAGCAGGTAAGGGCTCTTTAACTCTTTCTATCTAGACTGAAGGCAGTAGGGATGGCAGTTGGGGCAGTGGCATGCTCCTTTTGCAGGATGCGGGAGATCAGGGAGACTTCCAGTTTCCCTGGTGACTACACCTGTGAGAAGTGCGCCCGGCTGTATTTCCTGACAGACCGTGAGAGGGAACGGGAGCTGGAGCTGGAGCTGGATGCACTCAGGATCATACAGGATGCAGAGAACATCATTGATAAGAGCTATAGTGAAGTGGTCACTCCTAAGGTGGAAGCTGCAGGTGGTTGGGTGACCACGAGAAGAGGTAAGGGGGAGGAAGGCAGATAGTGCAGGGATCCCCTGTGGCCATTCCCCTCAATAACGGGGATACTGCTTTGGATACTGTTGGGGAGAGGGGTGACCTTTCAGGAGCTAGCAGCAGCAGCACAGTCAGGTCAGTGGCACTGTGACTGGCTCTGAGGCTCAGAGGGAAAGGGTACAGTCAGACAGAGCGATAGTGATAGGAGACTCAGTTGTGAGGGGGACAGACAGGAGATTCTGTGGCTGAAGAAGAGACAGCAGGATGGTGTGTTGTCTCCTGGGTGCCAGGGTCAAGGATGTCTCTGAGAGGTTGCAGAACATTCTGAAGGGGGAGGGTGAACAGCCAGAGGTCATTGTGCACATCGGTACAAATGACGTAGGTAGTCAATGGGATGGGGTCCTGTGAAATGAGTATAGGGAGTTAGGTAAGAAGTTAAAAAGCAGGACCTCAAGTACAGTAATCTCCGGAGCTGGTGTAGGAGGCAGGGATTTCAGGTCTTGGATCATTGGGATCTCTTCTGGGGTAGAGGTGATCTGTACAAGAGGAATGGGTTGCATTTGAAGCAGAGTGTGTCCAATATCCTTGGGAGATTTGCTTGTGTTATCCAGGAGAGTTTAAACTAGTTTGGCAGGTGGGGGTGGGACTGTGAAAAAGGGAGTGACCATTGAGAAATCAGGGAAAAATACATTAGCCATCAAGAGCAAGTTTACTATTCAGGATAGCCAGGGGCACAGTAAAGGGAGGGAAAAGACTTCTGGTTGAAGGTGCATTTATTTCAACTCACGAAGCTTGCCTGATAAGGAAGATGAACTCAGAGCATGGATTGGCTCTGGGCACTGGGGTATTATAGCCATAACAGCAACATGGCTGCGAGAAGGGCAGGACTGGCAGCTCAATGTTCCAGGATACAGAAGCTACAGGCGTGACAGAAGTACAAGTAAGTGAGAGGGGGAGCTGCCCTTTTGATAAGGGAGGGCATAACAACAGTGCTTAGAGAGGATATTCTTAAGGGGTCATCAAATGAGGCCATATGGTTAGAACGTAGAAACAGGAAGGAGATTGTCACTCTGTTGGGACTGTATTACAGACCCCCAAATAGCCAGCGTGTACGAGAGAAGCAGATGTGTAGAGAGATTGCAGATACCTGTAGGAATAATAGAGTAGTACTGGTTGTAGATTTTAGTTTCTCTTGTATTGATTGGGCCACGCAGAGTGTAAAAGGCTCGGACCGGGTGGAATTTGTCAAATGTGTCTAAGAAAGTTTCCTAAATCAATATATAGAGGGCCTGACTTGGGAAGATGCAACACTTGACCTCCTGTTAGGAAACGAGGTCGGACTGAAGTGATTGAAGTGTCAGTTGGAGAGCAGTTTGGGTCCAGTGACCATAACTGTTTTATTTTTAACATAGTTAAAAGATAGGAGAGGTCCATAGGTTAAGGTGCTAAACTGGAGCCGGGCCAATTTTGGGGCCATTAGGCAGGATCTAGCAGAGGTCGATTGGGTGAGTCTGTTTGAAGGAAAAGGAACAACTAGCAAATGGGAGCCTTTTAGAAGTGTGATATCAAGGGTCCAGGGACAGTATGTCCCTGTTAGGGTGAAAGGAAAAGCTGGCAGGTTTAGGGATGCCTGGCTGATGAGGAATGTTGAGGCTTTGGTCAGGAAAAATCAGGCATACATTGGGTTTAAGCTGTCGGGCTCAAATGAATCCCTAAATGACTATAAAAAAACTGGAGATGGGGCAGACAGCAGAGAAATAATTGTGTTCAGACAGTAAGATTTCGGAATAAAGAGCAACCTCTATATTTGCGGATGGTGCTAAACTTGGAGAAGTGACAAACAGTGACAATCATACAAATCACACAAAAGAGGAAACAGAGGCTCATGGAATGGGCAAGCAAGTGGTGGATGGAATTTGTAGGGAGAAGTGTCAGGTGATGTAATCTGGCAGAAGTGACGGGGGTTGTGGATGTGAGAATGAACTTTTTTTAAGGAGTGAATGGCAATGAGTTGGAACTCGCTGCCAAGATAGGCGTGAAAGCAGAGACAGCGATTTCAAGAGGAAACAGGATGAACACTTGAAGGAAAGTAGCTTGCAGAGTCACAAGTGGAACTAATGGTATTGCTCTGAGGAGAGCTGCCATGATGTCAATTGGCAGAATAGCCTCTGTGCTGTAAGGGACTCAATAGCTGTAGGCACAGGTTGATACAGGGAGCAGGCTTGATGGGGAGTCTCGCAGAGGTTGGGTTCTGTCACGGTGAGATGATTGTGTGGGAGCACTTTAAGGTTCCGTGGATAGTAGGTGAAGGAAGCCCTGTGAGAGAAACAGGAATGAGTCAAATGACAACTAATGTCCAGAATTGCTGCTGCGATAGTACACAGCCTGTAAACAGCAATATGATTGGACACTCTGCTGCAAACAGAGCAGTAGAAGAAATTTGATGGCACAGAGTAAACAGTGCATGTTAGACTGCACAGCTGAAAGGGCTGAGAAACGTTTAGTTGATTCAATCCATGACACATGGCTTGTCCTGGGGAACATTGGCAGTTTGATGTTAAAGACTGTAGGCTAAGTAGGAGCCCACATAACAGCAGTTCAGACTTCTAGTAATGAACAGAGTGAAGTTGTTGATCTCAGAAAGGACAGTAATAAGAGGACAGGACGAGTGGGAAACTTTCTGATCTTTACCTCTAGGTCAGAACCAAGGCCATCCTAATGTCTGTCTTCGAGCTGCAGTACACAGACAACGCCTGGGTCTGTGCACACAGAGGCCCAACTCCGAACCATTGTCAACATATTCACTGAGGTGTATGAGAAAATGGGCCTCGGACTAAGCATATGGAAAATAAAGGTTCTCTACCAATCTGCTCCTGCCACACAAAGCTGCCGCCTAACCATCAAAACCCACAGTGAGCCCCTGGACGTATGAATCATTTCCCATATCACAGGAGCCTCATCTCAGTGGGAACAGACATTGTTGATGAAATCTAACATCAACTCAAATGCTCTAGTATAGCTTTCAGATGACTGAGGAACAGTGAGTTCAAAATCCAGTTGTGTAAACCCAGCAGCAGGCTCATGGTCTACAGCGCAACTGTGGTCCCCACCCTCTTGCATACATCAGAAACATGGACTATGTACAGCAGACCTCTCAAATCTTTGAAGAGTTATTACCAGAACTGTCTTTGCAAAATTCTGCAAATCCATTGGCAGGAAAGGCATACCAATATAACTGTCCTCTTCCACCTCTGTGGTACTGGTCATGCACAACCAGCTGTGATGGGTATGCCACACTATACGCATGCCTGTTACAAGTGTTATACTTTGAGCTCTGCAATGGTAGATGATAATCGGGAGGGCAGAGGAAATGCTACAAGGACACCCTGAAACCCTTCCTAAACAAATGCAACATCCCATCTAGAATGCGCAAATCAGGGAAGAAGCATTCGTGAAGACGCCAACCATTTCTGGCACGGTGGCTCAGTGGTCAGCACTCCTGCCTCACAGTGGTGGCTCAGTGGTCAGCTCTCCTGCCTCACAGTGGTGGCTCAGTGGTCAGCACTCCTGCCTCACAGTGCCAGGGACAGGGGTTTGATTCCACCCTCAAGCAAGTCTATGGAGTTTGCATGTTCTCCCCCTATCTGCTTGAGTTTTCACTGGGTACTCCACTTTCTTCCCACAGTCCAAAGATGTGCAGGTTTGACCATGCCAAATTGCCCATAGTGTGCAGGATGTGCCGGCTAGGTGGGTTAGCCGTAGTAAATGTGGGGTTACAAGGATAGAGTTGGGGGTGCTAGGAGGAATGCTGTTCAGAGGGTTGGTGAAGGCTTGATGGGCTGAATTGCGTCTATCTGCACAGTGGGGATTCCATGCACATGCAGGCCAACCCCCACAGGCTGCGGAAACAGTGCACAGAATCCAGAGCTTCCACTCTCCCACCTCACCAAAACCATCTCTGGCTCCAGGATTAGATTATTCCGCCACCGCATAACCTGCCCATCTCCCTCCTAGATTGGAAACAAGTTATCTTCAACCCTGAGGGACTGCCAAAGAAGAAGAAGAAAATGATAAATTCACCCCTGCATTTGAGAAAAAAGAATCAGCCAGGTTTCCTGCTCCTGGTCGCTGTCCAGAGGTTCCTGGAGGGAGGGAGTCAGAGGTCAGTGATCAGGAGCAAGAAGCCTGGTTAATTTCCCCTCGCTCTCTGACGTATTGTTGCAGTAAGGGGTTCTGCCTCCATAATGCTGAGTTGTAGAGGTATATGTCTTTAGTCAATTGTAAGATTTGTAGGGAACAGAAGTTATGGAATTAATAGGTCTGAACAAACTACAGAGAACACCTTGTGAATCTGACAATTTTAAGTAGCTGATATTTGAGATGAGGAGTCCACCTAGTTCAGGGATTGCAAGCAGCAGCCTCAAGTTTCATTTGAATCTGTGGAATTGTGTGCACACGATGAGAGATATTATAATCTGTCTCCTCAGGACTCACTCTGTCAGAAACAGGAGACTCCTGATCAAACTCTCTGCCACTCCCATTCTGCTTCTTGCTCTTAGCTTCTTCTTCTCTGTTCTCTCCTCTGCTCTCTCTCTCTGTGCATCTCTCACCCACTCTCCTTATCATTACCTCTGTTTCAATCCCTGCCTTTTCCTTTGTCCTTTTCTCTCACAACCTCTCTCTCTCTCTCTCCTTTTCTCTCTTATTATCTCACTCCATCTGTCTCTCAGGCTGTGATCCATTGACTTATATTTTCCCTTCCCTCCGTCACTGACATAGATAATGTTTCTGTGTAACACAGATTCTCAGACATGTGACTTTTGAATGTCACAAGACACTCAGCCCAATTGGGGATTAGAAACCAGGACAACAGCTGAGCTTTTCAATTCAGCTTTGCTTTTCATAATTGTAGCTCTGAGAAATCTCAGATACAGACACTGGACTGGGGGTCGGGTTGTTAATGTTGAGGGCAGTGCAGTTAGAGGAGCAATTCTGGGGGGAGTTGGAGGAGTGAGGAGGACCACAGGGAGAAGGAGCAATTGTGGTAGGGTCAAGGAGTGAAGGGCAGCTGGGAGAGGAGGAGGAGTGAGCAGAAATTGGGGGGGGGGAGTAAGGGATAATTGGTGGGGGTAGTGAGCTGTAATTGTGGGTGAGGGAGTGGTACTCAGGATGGAGTGAGGGAGTAATTTGGGAGAAAGTGAAAAGGATGATGGGGGGGAGAAATAACAGTGTTGATTATAGGAGGAGTGAGGGATAATTGTTTGGGTGGAGTCAGTACTGATGGATGGTGGAGAGGTGACTGGGGAGAGAGTGAGGGGTAATTGTGGGGGGGAATGAGGGATGATTTAGGGAGGTTTGATTGTGGAGGGGGAGTGAGGGATAATTGTGAGGAGGAGTAAAAGGGGTAGTTGAGGGGAGAAGTGAGGGGGCAGTTGTGGTGGGTGATGGGTAATTGTAGGGACATGAGGGTTAATTGTTTGGACAATGAGAGTTAATTGTGGGATGGAGGGAGGAGTGGATCTGAGGATTTGTGGGGGTATGAAGGGATGATTTTGGAAGAAGTTAATTGTGGGGCTGGTGAATGGTAATTTGGAAGGAATGAAGGATAATTGGGGGGGAACATCGAGGGAGGGTGGGTGAGTAGCGTGGGAGGGGGACTTGAACACAGACCTCCTGGCTCAGATATGGACACTACCACTATGCCATAAGGGTCATTGATCAGTAATAGTAGAAGAAATTGCTATAATATTTTGACCCGTTCAGGAGGGCCTTGTGGCACAGTGGTAGTGTCCACCACCTTGGGCCAAGAGGCCCTGGTTCAGGGGATGTGATTACATAGTGGTATTATCACTGGATTGTTAATCCAGAGACCTAGGTAATGTTCTGGGGGACCTGGGTTTGAATCCTACCATGGCAAATGGTGAAATTTGAATTCAATAAAAATCTAATGAAGACCATGAAACCATTGTCAATTGTTGGGAAAACCCATCTGGTTCACTCATGTCCTTTAGGGAAGGAAATCACCATCCTTACCTGGTTTGGCCTTTGTGTGACTCCAGACCCACAGCAATGTGGTTGACTCTTAACTGCCTTCTTGGCAATTAGGAATAGGCAATAAATGTTGCCTGGCCAGTGATGCCTTCATCCCATGAATGAATAAAAAGAAAGGCAACCTGTCTAGAGGAGTGTCAGAACATCTCTGAACAGGGAGATTAAAAATGTCTCTAAACAGTTCAGTCTTTGCAATAACTGTGACTAATCACCAATGCTCCCAGACTTTTAACCTGGTCAAAGTGATACTTAGTCGGATTTCCTGGGTTACTTCTTTGGCAATACCTCAGGGTTGAGGATGACTTGCTTCTATCCAGGGAGGAGTGGTTCTGTGGTAGTTGAATAGTCCAATCCTAGACCACAGGCTCCACCCCAGGAAGGGCAGGTGGTGTACGAGGAGGTGGGAATGTGGGACGCTCTGTTTCCGCAGCATATTCTTGGTCTGCCTGTGCTTCACTCAATGAAGTTTGAAATGGTTGGCATCTTCATGGATGTTTCTTCACTAGTTTGTGCATTCTACGGCAAGCGATCCCCACATGTCGGTGGGGATTTATTTAGAGAAGCTTTCAAGGTATCCTTGTAGCGTTTCTTCTGCCCTCCTACTGATCACTTAGCACGGCGGACTTCAGAGTAGAGCACTTGTATCAGATATGTGGATAACGTGACCCCAGCATCATAGCTGGGAATATTGGCCTGGGAGAGGACACTTAGTTGGTATGCCTTTCCTGCCAGTGAATTTGAGGGGTCTGCTGTATGTGGTCTATGTTTCTGATGTATGCAGGAGGATGGGAGCCATGGCTGTTCTGTAGACCATGAGCTCATTGCTGGGTTTGACATCCTGGACTTCGAACACCTCGTTCCACAGGAGTCCAAAGGCTGCACTGTCGCATTGGTAATGAAATCTAACATTGACTTCAATGTCTGCTCACACTGAAAGGAGACTCCACAAGTGTAGAAATGATCCACATTGTCCAGGGGCTTGCTGTGGATTTTGATGGTCACGGGCTCAGGGTTGTGTTGCAGGCGCAAGCTGGTCGAGAACCTTTCCCTTCAAAATATTTAAACTGAGGCCCGTTCTCAGTGAATGTATCATTGATGGTTTGTAGACTATTGTTTTCTTATATCATTGATTCGGTAATATCGATCTCTCTCAAAATCAGAGTCCCATAGTAAAGGAAACGAGTTCCTTGCCGAAACCTTCTCTCCATTTAGATGGCGTGATCAGCCTTTGCTTGATGTTAAGGTGACGTTTAGTGAAGGTTGGATCTTTTTGACAAAATAAACATGAACCTGTTGTACCAGCAAAAACACGTGGCCCTTATTCATAATCTTCAATAATTCGGAAAACTTGAACAAAATCAGAAGTTGCTGGAAAAACTCAGCAGGTCTGGCAGAATCTGTGGAGAGAAAACAGTTAACTATAGATTGATTAGCCTAACATCTATTGTTGGAAAAATACTGGAATCAATTATTTAGGAAGTAATAGCAGAACATTTAGAAAATCACAATCTAATCAAGCAAAGTCAGAATGTATTTATGAAAGGGAAATAGACCCCTGACCCTCCAAACAACTTTGACTTTGAGCAGCTCCTGGACCCAGAGGGTCTTGAGTGGAAAGCCTTACCCCTAACCATTTGGCAGGACTGTGAGCGCTGACACTTGAACCCCAAGCTGTGTGGGCTTCCTCCAGAAAGGGAGCTCTCTGAGACCCAGACGATTACTGCACAACATTCCACACTGAGGCTAGAGTGTTAATGGAATCTTAATCTCAGGTCCCTGGGTGGGACTGGAGAGGTCTCAGGCCAAGTCCTTACCACTGGCAGAGATTGGGGATCCAGGGATGTTTTTCAGAATGGCTGCTGGAGACTTAGAGGAGTTTCCCAGGGGTTAGTGTTGGGGCCACAATTATTCACATTATACATTAACGATCTGTACAAAAGAACTGAGGGCATTGTTGCTAAGTTTTCAGATGACATGAACATAGGTGGAGGGATAGGCAGTGTTGAGGAAGCAGGCAGGCTGCAGAAGAATTCGTACAGGCTAGGAGAGTGGGCAAAGAAGTGGCAAATGGAATACAATGTGGGAAAGTGTGAAGTTATGTACTTTGGTAGGAAGAATGGAGGCATAGACTATTTTCTAAATGGGGAAAGGCTTCTGAAATCTGAAGTACAAAGGGACTTAAGTCCAGGTTTAGGATTCTTTTAACCTTAACATGCAGGTTCAGCATCAGTAGTACAAGCTCTGGTCAAATGATGTTTAGAATATTTTGATTGGTTTGATTTATTGTTACGTGTACCGAAGTACAGTGAAAAGCTTTGTTTACGAGCAGTAAGCAAGGATGTACATATCAAAAAGACTTAGACAGAGGCATACAGATTACACTGCATAGGGCGTGTGCTAGGCAAGATTAACGTTAGCAAGATCAGCGTTATTTGAGGCTAGAGAGTCCAGTCATCAGTCTAATAATGGCTGGGAAGAAGCTGTTCCTGAACCTGCTGGTGTGTGTGTTCAGGCTTCTGTATCTTCTGCCTGATGGAAGAGGTTGTAGGAGATCATTACCGGGGTGCGATGGGTCTTTGATGGTGTTGGCCGCCTTTCCGTAGCAGTGATCCGTGTAAATAGAGTCCATGGATGGAAGGTTGGCTTCTGTGATGGTCTGGGCTGTGCACACCACTTTCTGGTGGGGATTCAGAGGAAGTTTAGAAGAATTATCGCAGGGATGAAGGGCTTGTCATATGAGGAGTGTGGTTGAGGTCTCTGGGTCTGTACTCCATGGAGTTTAGAGGGATGAGGGCAGATCTGATTGAAACTTATGGAATACTGAGAGGCCTAAATAGACTGGATGTGGAGAGGATGTTTCCACGAAAAGCAGAGACTAGGACCCAAGGGCACAGCCTCAGTGAAGGGACGACCTTTTAGAACTGAGATGAAGAGGAATTTCTTTAGCCAGTGGTGAATCTGTGGAACTCATCGCCACAGAATGCTGTGGAGACCAAGTCATTGAGTGTATTTAAGACAAAGATAGATAGTTTCTTGATTGGTAAGGGGATCAAAAGCCAAGGGGAGAAGGCAGGAGAATGGGGTGGAGTAACATATCAACCAATCGAATGGTGGAACTGATTCAGTGGGCCTAATTCTGCTCCTATGTCTTCTGGTCTTCATTGGCCATTTGTTCACCACTGCTCCCCAGAGTTGTGATGCTGGGGTGTGATGGAAGATTGTGGGAGAGATGGTTGTGCAGTTATTCATATCTGAAATCAGCCCATTTTTACTTGTGTGGGGATTCAGGGGCTTTCGCTCCCAATTTAAGTATAACCTCCAAGAGTCCTGGTAATTCAGAACAAAGAGCTGCTCCCCAAGGAATAGCATCACCAGTCTAATAGCTAGTGAGGAATCCAATGAGGTTCTCTGGTTAAAAGTAGTAAAGCTTTCTGAGGGATTTGGGGAAAAAGTTAGGGTTTTTTGTGGTGTTTGCGATGTACAGGGGCAGTATTTTAAAGCCAATAAGTAAACAGGAGATTTCACCTGGATTCAGACCCATTGAAGCTTGGCACCCTCTCGGTACCATCTATCAAAGTAACTGCACTAGAGACACTGGGGAAGTGACCAAAGGGCATAGCTGTGCAAATTTGTCTTCGTGAGTATATGTGTGTGTTCTCTGCTGTCGGTGTCTGGGTGTGCCTGTCTGGGTGATCACATTCCCTCTGCCGTGTGGAGGATGTGAAAACTCGAACTTGTTTTTTTCTCTATCTCATGTTTTCTGGGGTCTCTAGTTCAATACCTGCCCCCAGTCTACTCTATCACCACTTTCTGCTGCATGTTCAGATCACTGGTTAGTAATGGTATCAATGGTATCAATGTGGATTTCACAAGCTTCAAAATCTCCCCTCCCCCTACCGCATCCCAGCCCAGCTTGTCCCCGCCTCCCTAACCTGTTCTTCCTCCCACCTATCCCCTCCTCCCACCTCAAGCCGCACCCCCATTTCCTACCTACTAACCTCATCCCGCCCCCTTGACCTGTCCGTCCTCCCTGGACTGACCTATCTCCTCCCTACCTCCCCACCTACACTCACCTTTACTGGCTCCATCCCTGCCTTTTTGACCTGTCTGTTTCCTCTCCACCTATCTTCTCCTCTATCCATCTTCTATCTGCCTCCCCCTCTCTCCCTATTTATTTCAGAACCCCCTTCCCCTCCCCCTTTTCTGATGAAGGGTCTAGGCCCGAAACGTCAGCCTTCCTGCTCCTATGATGCTGCTTGGCCTGCTGTGTTCATCCAGCTCTACACCTTGTTATCTCAGATTCTCCAGCATCTGCAGTTCTTACTATCACTGATTAGTTTGTTGGTTTGAATGCATACCTGTTTGGAGAAAGTTCACTCATTCAATAGCTCCCCTCATCTACGCAGGATAAACAGGCCACTTGGCTCAGGGACAGATTTGCATTAATTTAGCACCTTTCAAGCCCTCAGGACATCTTTTTTATATTTGAGATGTAGTCACTGTGGAAATGAAGGGGACATTGCAGCTATTTGCATATAAGGAGTTCCCACCATCTGCAGTATGATAAGGAAGATGTCCTAGAGTAAAAGAGGTCTACAATACCGAAACAGGCCCTTTGGCCCATTGAATCTATGCAGGTCAAAAAGACCCAGCTAACTATTCTAATACCATTTTCCAGCACTTGGCCCAGAGCCTTCTGTGACTTGGAATCCCAGGTGTACATGATCTGAGATAGTAGGAACTGCAGATGCTGGAGAATCCGAGACAACAAGCTGCAGGGCTGGATGAACACAGCCTCCTACCACCCCCTTGATCATGACCCCACCCCTGAGCACCAAACCATCATCTCCCAAACCATCCACAACCTCATCACCTCAGGTGACCTCCCACCCACGGCCTCCAACCTCATCGTTCCCCAACCCCGCACTGCCCGCTTCTATCTCCTTCCCAAAATCCACAAACCTGAATGCCCTGGTCGACCCATTGTCTCCGCCTGCATGGGCCCAAGCTACGCCTGCCTCTTTGTAGGTTACATGGAACAATCCCTCTTCCGTACCTACACCGGCCCTAAACCCCACCTCTTCCTCCGTTACATTGATGACTGTATCGGCGCCGCCTCGTGCTCCCACGAGGAGCTCGAACAGTTCATCCACTTCACCAACACCTTCCACCCCAACCTTAAGTTTACCTGGACCATCTCTAATACCTCTCTCCCCTTCCTGGACCTCTGTGTCTCCATATCGGGCAACTACCTAGAAACCGATATTCATTTCAAGCCCACCGACTCCCACAGCTACCTAGAATACTCCTCCTCCCACCCACCTTCCTGCAAAAATGCTATCCCCTATTCCCAATTCCTTCGCCTCCGCCGCATCTGCTCCCAGGATGAGGCATTCCACTCCCGTACCTCTCAGTTGTCCTCGTTTTTCAAGGACCGTAACTTCCCCTCCTCAGTGGTCGAGAACGCCCTCAACCGTGTTTCCCACATCTCCCGCAACTCATCCCTCACACCCCGTCCACTCAATAAGAACCAAAAAAGAATCCCCCTCGTTCTCACGTACCACGCCACCAACCTCCGGATCCAACGCATCATCCTCCGACACTTCCGCCATCTGCAATCCGACCCCACCACCAAAGACATCTTTCCCTCCCCACCTTTATCTGCTTTCCGGAGGGACAACTCTCTCCGTGACTCCCTTGTCCGCTCCACACTCCCCTCCAGCTCCACCACACCCGGCACTTTTCCCTGCAACCGCAGGAAGTGCTACACCTGCCCCCATACCTCCTCCCTCACCCCCATCCCAGGCCCCAAGAAGACTTTCC